AGGCAGTCATTGACTGTAAAGGATTTGCAACCAAGTATTAAAACTGACTGTTTAATTGATGATTATGTTAGTTTGTCCAAATACTTATGAGCCCTTAAAGTTGGGGGACTGTGTGAAGAAATGGTTGTCATTCCTACACGGTTCATACTACATTTTTGAAAAAAGCCTTAAATGAAAGCTGAGAGTCTGCACTTTAAGCAGGTATTCATTGTTTCATTTAAAACCCATTGTGGTGGTGTACAGAGCCAAAATGACGACAACTGTATCATTGTCCAAATAATTATGGACCTGACTGTAATTCACCTTTACAGCACTTTGATTGAAAGCGCTTTATAAATAAATTTATTATTATTATTATTATTATTATTATTAAGAAGCATTGGCAAAGTAAAAATCTAAATGATTCCTTTCCTTTTATGATCAAAATGTGTTTGTAGTTTCAGTGAACTACACAACATTTTTGTTTACCACTTTAATCACTATGCAAATATAAATGTTGAACAACCAGCAAGCTATTAAGGAATGTAGTTAAACTACTACTAACGTTACATGGTCACTAATCCCCAACACTGGAAATGAAAAGCTTACATGTCTGCGGTCACGTTATGTGTGAATCTAACAACAAGCTCACAAGTTGTTCCATCGCACCAGAAGCTACATTTCTCTTGCTATTAACTAAGTACTGATACAACATCGAAACACTGATGGATGTGTCTGTGAGCTGCAAATAAACAAGCAGTACTTTTTTTTTTTTTCTTAAAGACTTACATGCACTTTCCTACTTCTGCAAATATTCTGAGAGGATCCACACCTCCTTGTTCCTGTCTAAGCATTTCCCGTAAGACCGACTATGTTTATCAGAATATAGTATATAATTATGTTATTAGGTGAAACAATATACCCAATCCTCTTAGTTTAAAGAGAGAAAAAAACAGGAAAAGAAAAACGATCCTTCCCTGAGTTGCATAATGATACAGTTTATAGCCAACCAAGCAGCAGGAAATTTGCTGACACAAAAAAAATGCAAAACATATCCTCAAATATAAAACCACAAGATACTATATTTTGTCTATTCATGTAATTATAAACAAAGAAGTGGGGAGCTCAAATTTTCAATACATGTTGAGCACCACGAGCATATTAGGACTTTTTTTTCTATCAGGAGAGAACAATTAGCTTAATGCTTTTTAAACAGTTTTTTAAACACACACAGTTGGTGCTTTGAATTCATTTCTTTAATTTGGACCACCCAGCTCTTAAATCAGCATATTACTACGACAGTTTCTAGGCCTGCAGCTGCATTTCTCGTTGGTGCATCTTAGGCGTCTTGCGTTTGCAAAAACACAAGACACAAAGACTGCAGGCATCTCCCAAGGAATACACGTCATTTCCCGATGTGCCCACATCCAGTAAATTCTGCAGTCTTGACCTACATGTGCTATTTTTAAGCACATGACAAAGTGCATCAGGCAAAAAAATATATATATTACTCATGACAAAAAAAATCCATAACAGTACTTAAGCTTAACAAGCAGAGGCGTACGTACCATAAAAGCAGACCCCGAGAAGTAGCACAAAAATGTATGCGAAGAGGCAGCTCAGGCAACCACCAACCATCTCTGTGGGGAGAGGAACAACTTCTGTTTCCTCTTCTGGTCTATCGTACTGTGTCATGACAGTACTGAAAAAAATAGAGGGTGGAGAGTGGGGGAGGTCTCTGTCAACGGAGAAGCAGAAGACATTAAAAGTAGGCACATAAAACAGAACATGATCGTATAGTATTAAAAATGAAAGTTGAGTGAGAGAGCCAGTGGTCATGCATTATATTGCACCATATTACCATCACAAAGTTTATTTCTATTAGGTGACAAAAGGCAAATATTCAAGATTGCTTTTCTTGACTATTTGCTATAAACTCTAATAGACCTGACCCCACATTAGATCCACTCACTCCAAGACTTAAATACCTCAAGCACAAAACAGTGCATCTACAGACTACTATATGCAGCTGTATCTGAGTGAGATGTGTGAACAACTACGATGAAGTCCACATCTGAAAACCCCTGAGCAGGAAGGACTTAACCACATCCTGTCATCAGATATTCCTTAGTGAGGAGATGCTAAAAATGATTTCTCTTTCACAATGACACAGAGCATGTTCAGTGCTACAGTAGAAGTGCCCAGAGGATTGTTGAGGTGTAGTCTTAAAGGTAGGTATTCAGCCTGATAGGCAGAGACTCCACCATGGGGTCAGAACAAAAGAAGAACCTCAGGGTCTACTGAGAGAAGGTGTGTCCAGAGGCAGAAGAGTTGCAAGGTACCCTGGGTGCGTTGATTGTTGACATTCTGGGACACGCATTGCCTCCTTTCAAGATACACTTCCGTTTTCACAGGAAATAAACACACTACGTCGGTACAACAAGGCGAATTGACGTTTTTTTGTCCCTCAACGACAAACACGCCGATGTTAAAGGACCCCTTTCCGGCCCAATTGTTGAAAAACGCGCGCTAAAGTGCCCTCTTGGGAGCCAAAACATGCGCTAAAGTGCCCTCTTGGCAACCAAAATGCCTTCCTGGGAGCCAAAACGCACGCTAAAAGTGCCCTCTTGGCAGCCAAAGTGCCCTCCTGGGAGCCAAAATGCACGCTAAAGTGCCCACTTGGTAACCAAAATGCCTTTCTGGGAGCCAAAATGCATGCTAAAGTGCCCTCTTGGCAGCTAAAGTGTCTTCCTGGGAGCCAAAACGTGCACTAAAGTGCCCTCTTGGCAGCCAAAGTGCCCTCCTGGGAGCCAAAACGCATGCTAAAGTGCCCTCTTGGGAGACAAAACATGCGCTAAAGTGCCCTCTTGGCAACCAAAATGCCCTCCTGGGAGCCAAAACGCATGCTAAAGTGCCCTCTTGGGCACCAAAACACGTGCTAAAGTGCCCTCTTGGCAGCCAAAATGCCCTCCTGGGAGCCAAAACGCGCGCTAAAGTGCCCTCTTCGCAGCCAAAATGCCCTCCTGGGAGCCAAAACGCACGCTAAAGTGCCCTCTTGGCAGCCAAAACGCACACTAAAGTTCCCTGCTGGGAGCCAAAACGCACGCTAAAGTGCCCTCTTGGCAGCTAAAGTGCCCTCCTGGGAGCCAAAACGCACGCCAAAGTGCCCTCTTGGTAACCAAAATGCCTTCCTGGGAGCCAAAACGCACGCTAAAGTGCCCTCTTGGCAGCTAAAGTGCCTTCCTGGGACCCAAAACGCGCACTAAAGTGCCCTCTTGGCAGCCAAAGTGCCCTCCTGGGCGCCAAAACGCGCGCTAAAGTGCCCTCTTGGCA